CTCTGTACCATTTCATGTAAATGGTTCTCCATCTCTTCTTAAAAACTTCCAGTATTGGATCACATAAAGTTTTTGGAGGCAAGTCTGTCAGAGTTTGCTGCAAAAAAATCACATCCAGAAAGCACAGACAGGATTCAGCAGGATTCATTAATTTCTCTTTATATACAATATAACACATACGTACATATACAATACCAACAATGGTTCTTCCAACATGGTAGAGAGAAGAGATTGAAAATAAGGACAACCACAGGCAGGGTACAGGAGAGAAGAGCTCAGAGAGTAGACTACATCAGTTCCCTTGCGCAGACTCAGAGCTACATAGGTAAGCCACGCCCTGGCTCCAAGCCATTTGGCATAGCTCTCAGTCACCAAATAGTTCCCACTGGCTGACACAGTTGCATTGCATATACATTGACTAACCTTGTTACCATGTATCTGCCAGTTCATGATTATTCTGACAAAATCATTCTACTGATCAATTGTCCTATCGGGAAATTTCTCCTTAGTTCTAGCTTGGTCCTCTCCTTGATTAGTTTCCACCCATTGCTTCTTGTTCTGCCTTGCGATGCTTTGGAAAACAGGTTGACTACCCCCTTTTTTTCTTACGTATTGGGACACTGCTATAATCTCACCCCAGTCCTTCTTTTCATTAAACTAGACATATCCAATTCCAGCAGACATTTTTCATGCCTTGCTCTTTAGTCATCATGGCAAAGCTAATAAACTTCCCTTCTCAAAGATTGGGGGGGGGGTACTACTATTCTGTCCTTGTCTTCAGGAGCCCTACTGAAACTGAAGATATATTATCTGGTGGGGCTCCTTGGAGGTCATCCTTCAGTTGCCCCTAAAAACTGGTTGAGGATATTCTGTGCTTTGACCCAGGTAAATAAGCACTGGGCATCTCTTAATTGTCATGGGGCACTATATCTAAGTGGGAATTTTAGCTACAGCCACCCTCAGAACCGGGTCCATAGCAAAGATGTGGTATCTATGTGGGAGAGGGACTGCTTTTTCTTCCCCAAAAAACTTCTGGAAAATCTATGTATTTAACTGGTAACTTGGTTTTTGTCCCTTTGCGGTGTCCTACCAGTGACTGCAGTGGATCTTCTGATATGCTGTTTGTAGCTGGACAAATTGGCAAGTTGGAGCTATAAAAGACAGAGTTACAGCCTGCAGTCTATAATAGGATGGGAAGTTTTAGCCACTCAGCTCATAAGATTAATGGAATGTGAAGGTGGCTGGTGATATATAAGGTTAAAAGTTCAGTAAGCTGGACTACTGCTATTATTAGCTGGGACCAAATAATTGGACCAACTTTTAAATTTTGTGAAGTATTGTTTCTACTTGTTTTGGAGTGTTTAGAAGGACTGTAGGGATTTATACAATTGTAACCATGGTGAAGTCTATAAAGCCAGCTCCATAGGGAACAAGAAAGCTGGATGACCAAAATCAAATTCAATGGAAGTGTTCAAAAGAAGAAAGGACTAGGTGAAAAAATCCTGGAATATGGTGAAAACATATCAACGTGAGCATTTCTTTTGGAATTGACAATCACAATAAATCTGTTTCCATAACATTATAGGCAGTATTTTTTCCTATAGACAGCATTCTTTCTATTTCTTTTAGGCAATTTCTCTGAGACAGTATAATGATTACATGATAAACTAATTTCTCTTAATAAGTTGCTTCCTGCGGTTGAGGTCAGGCCGTAAAATAATGATGTAGCATTTTGGCAGGAATATGCATCCCAGTAATGGAGCACTGGAGGCCAAGATGGAGAAGACCTCCACAGCTACCATGGCTTTGCCTTTTGTGCTCAGATAGGCTGGAAAGAAGGAGATCCACACACTGCAAAAGGCCAACATGCTGAAGGTGATGAACTTGGCTTCATTAAAACTGTCAGGTAATTTACGGGCAAGAAAAGCCACAATAAAGCTGGCAATGGCCAAGATGCCCATGTAGCCCAAGACGCAGTATAAGAATGGAGCTGAACCCTCATTGCATTGTAAAATCATTTCTTGGGGCTGTGAATGCATGTCCACCTCCGGAAATGGGAGAGATGTCGACAACCAAAGTATACAAGTACATACTTGTAAGAGAGAGCATGAGAGGACAATAGAAAAAGCCAATCTTTTCCCCACCCATTTCCTCATCTGAGATCCAGGTTTAGTGGCCATGAAAGCCACAACCACAGTGATGGTTTTGGCCAGTACACTAGAAATGGCCACTGAGAAGGTGATGCCAAAAGTTGATTGTCGGAGAATGCAGGTCACTTTGCCAGGCTGGCTGAGGAAGAAAAAAGAGGAGAGAAAACAGAGCAGAAGAGAGACAAGGAGGGTGTAGGTGAGGGACCGGTTGTTGGCTTTGACAATGGGACTATCCCTGTGTTTAATAAAAGTTCCAAGTACCCAAGAGGTCAAGAAGAAGAAACCAAGAGCTGTTGAGGCTAAACCAATTCCTAAGGTTTCTTCAAAAGTTAGAAAGACCAGCAATTTCAGGATACATCCATTCTTTTCTTTATTTGGATAATGATCTTCTGAACATTCAAAACAGTCATCCATATCTGGAAGGAAAATCAAGGATATTTTTTCATCAAGATATTGCATATTACTGAAAATTATGTTATTAATTTTATTCATCCAAGTAGTTTATTAAAGTTTGCTTAAGTCTAATGAAAAATGGTAGAATTCCTACCCTACCATTTTGATTTGAAATCTTCCCTTCTGGACATGGAACACAGTCATAGCAGCAGAACTGATTTCCCTCAATCCCTTTCTTCCAGGATCCAGGGAAACAGGGGTCATTGCATCGAGAAAGTGGAGGAACCTGGTGATAAGCACAAAATGTTTTGAAATTGGATATATTTCAAACAGTTTGTAATTTATCCCCTTTATAGAGGAGAATTACTTTTGATCTCCCAAAGGGTTCTGATTTTATCAGCAAATAAAATCAGCACATGTTGACAATCTTTTGTAAAAGCAAATCAAATATGCAAACGATGCTTTTATACTGTACTATCATTTTTTTTCAATTCAATGAGTGCTTGATCATCAACAGCATTTGAAGAGAATATGCCTTCATTTCTTTTAAACATGAGAAATCAGATTTTGAAAGAGATTAGGCTCAAAATGGAATCATCATGGATTAAGGCATGGTCGATTCATTAATTAGGTACCTGGTTAAAAGCTGGATTCCAGACAATCACATCTTCATCAATCGAAAATTCATTACCTTTTGGACCCTCTAGATCCAGCTTTCCAACCCTAACTCTCTGAAATGATCTATTTGGAAAAGTGATCAAATTGGTAATGTCGAATCCACCTGTTGCTTCCCCTTTCTCATTCAGAAACACTCTCTCCCCAGCTGAATTGTTAAAAGAAATGCCTTGAAGAAATGAATGGAGCTAATTGAAAGGGAATAAAAGAGTGAGGGAATTAAAAGCAACATAATAGAAAAGACAAAAAGATATCCAAGTTACATTCACTCATTCTGCCCTTTCCAGTAATTATTATTAAATACGTAAACTTAGAAATTTTATAATCAATATTGTATGGAAATATACATGTCAACTCTCTGATTTATTTGATATTGTTTTAAGGAAATATAACAATGCACAGAATCAGAATGAAAATAGCGTTTTGGAATTATATCACTTTATCCATTTACTAAACAAACTAATTCCAAATAGATAATCTATAATATTTACTCATTGGTACAAAGCTGTTTGAGATTCTGAGGTCTGGTTAATTTTCAGATTTTAGAATTTGAGACAGAAGCTTTCTTTAATAAATAAATGATTGTTAGAGACTGATAGAGACTGTTCCAAATATATGGTTGTTTCATTCTAAGCATGCTACATTTAAAAAGGACCTACTATGCGTCTCAATATCCCAAAGAGACACAAAACTTAGTTAGTGACTTAGCTGGAGAATTGATTAGTTTTTGAAGAGATAACAAAAAGTAATATAAATTATCCTTTTAACTATTATTGTTCAAATATGCTGATTTATTAAATGTTTTTTATCATTTTTGGTATATATATTTATACAGAACAACATAACACAGATGCAAGATACCTTGAATGTTTTCTAGTAAAACACCCAGCTCAATGAGAAGATCCTACAACATTTGAAACAAATGGCTGTCTAATAAACAGCTTGTGACCTAAAAAGCTTCTCCCTATATGTTGAAAACAAGAAAAAAGACAAGGAAACAATTGGTCCATTTTTGGGAGAAAGTGTCACGAAGGTGCAATCAACAGGGAGAAAGCAAAACTACTCAAGTTGTTTTTTGCCACTGTCTTTACACAAGGGGAAAAAACAATCAAACCTATCAAAAACACCACCACAAAAAACAGATTAGGAACACAAGTTAAAATAGGGAAGAAAATGGTATGTGAGCACCTGACTACCCTAACTGAGTTCAAATCAACAGGACTGGAAGATTACACCAGAAGGTTCTGAAGGAACTGGCAGATGAGATAGCNTATATGAAAAATGGGTAGAATGCCTAACCTACCATTTTGATTTGAAATCTTCCCTGCTGGGCAAGGAACACAGTCATAGCAGCAGAACTGATGCCCCTCAATCCCTTTCTTCCAGGATCCAGGGAAACAAGGGTCATTGCATTGAGAAAGTGGAGGAACCTGATGATGAAGATAAAATATTTTGAAATTGGAGATATTTAAAATTGTTTCTAATCTTTTATGGAGGTGAATTATATGGAATTTATTAACTTCATCAACAACTTTAAAAGATATAGAAATTATAATGCTCCATGTTCTCTCCACTTCTGTTCTCTCTTTATACCAAGGACTGCATCTCAAATGAGCCATCTGTTAAGCTACTGAAGTTCACAGACGATACAACAGTGATTGGCTTCATTCGTGACAATGATGAATCAGCAGACAGATGGAAAGTTCAACAACTGGCCTTATGGTGCGACTGAAACAATCTGGAACTGAAGACACTCAAAACCATAGAAATAGTGGTAGACTTTAGGAGAAACCCTCCTATAATGCCACCTCTTACAATACTAGACAACACAGTATCAACAGTAGAGATCTTCAAGTTTCTAGGTTCTACCAGATCTCAAGACCTAAAATGGACACCTACCCTCAAAAACGTTATCAAAAAAGCACAACAAAGAATGTTCTTTCTGTTCCAACTCAGGAAGCTCAAACTACCCATGGAGTTGCTGATACAGTTCTACAGAGGCATTATTGAGTCTGTCGTCTGCACCTCTATAACTTTCTGGTTTGGTTCTGCAACCCAACAAGACAGACACAGACTTCAGAGGATAATTAGAACTGCAGAAAGGAGGCTTCCGGGGCGGTTTTGCTGATGGCGGCGGCTTAACGAGCTGCCCCCGGGTTCCTGGCCGTGTTATCTGCCTAAATACCTGGTAGATAAACTCATTCTTCAGGCAAAGAAGATGAGAGAGAGATCCAGCTGGCAAGAGCTTTTCTTTGAAGTTTGCAGCTTTTTTTTTTTGCTGCGAACAGAAGGGGGGGCCTACCGAAGGCTGAATCACACCTCCGAGCCAGGAACTTCTGCCGTAACCACCACGGCGCAAAGTAAGGAACCCCCGCTTAGGACAATTTTTGATATATCTATTTGAGATTAATACAAGCAGAGTCCGTCCCCGAGAACCTTATCTGTCTTTTTTTTTTTTAAAGAAAGAGCTTTCTTTGTGCATCGGGTTTCTAAAAAAATAAGCTCCTAAAATGGTGGGTGCTACATTCTTAACTGTCCGGCAGAGAAAACGAT